GCGGAGGAGTCTTTGTGCGCTCCCCTGCCCCATGGCCAATCAGGGCCTAGGGGCAGGGGAGCTACGTGAAGCGTCCTTCGCCCTGCCCCAGCCCTACGAGTGGAGAAGCGTGCCAAGCCTCTTCCAGGGCAAGGGTGCCTAGTGGGAAGGGGGAGCAAAGGGGCTCCTCCACCCCCAGACCAATCATGAAGTAGCCCGCCCCTTCCTGTTTAGGCCCCGTCTCTTCCTGCTTATGCCCCACCCCTTCCGGGGTGGCCTGGGGCTACTTCAAAAATGTTTGAAGTGGCCCCTGGGCAAAAATGATTGTCCATCCCTGCTGTAGAATATAGCTCCACAGCCATTACATCCTTTAGGTCCTCACTCCCACACACCTATGCCACAACAGCCAAGGGTAGCAGGGAGGATCTTCCTCAATTCCTGTGACAGGGGATTTCTCTCCGAGGCAAAACCTTTAGATCACCATTCACCACTCTGGCCCATTCGCCCAGTGTCAAGGGGGCAGTGCAGGGACGAAGATCTCACCTTTGATCACCATTATCTGGCAAACAAATACCTTTCAGCCTCCAGGTTACTTGCAAACTGTTCCCAATTTGACATTCATACTGTTTCGGTTGGACTTGAAGGTCACATATAGCGGAGTGAATGAGCACAAATATTGGAATCAGCTTTCCTCTCAGAATACTCACTTCTTGCAATCCCAAAATATTTCTCTCATCCCTACAAAATTTTGCAGACTCTGCTTCATTCATTATAATGAATCCCTTCTACTACCATGTTCAGATTCATACTAGTCTACAGCCAGTTCTTGGCCCCCAAACTAAAAACTAGCTCTATTGCATCCCGTGTTCGTCTTTCTATATATATATAAAAGCTTTTCCTGTGGGACAACAGTAACATCATCACGTCATTCTGTTTCCCACAGCCCCTCTCTCCACCCTCAGCCACCCTGCCTCATCCATCCCTCCTGGGATGGGTGGAGACATGCAGCTTCCCCCATCCTGGGCAGGGCCGGGAGCTGCATACCCTTCTCCTCACAGGGGAAGAGGAATGCTAGGAGCCATCCGGCCTTCTCCTCGCGGAGGGGAGGGGGCAAGAGCCATGAGGGCTAACCCTTGCAGGGGGATGGGTGGTAGCCAGAAGCAGAGATAGAATCTGGGATCCCTAACCCCCAGGCTCCGGCCCTAACCACTAGATATTGCTGCTTTCCATTGTGCACATGCCTTCTCACCAGTGCGCCATACCCCATTCTTGCCATCACTTCCCCTCACAACCTAAATACTGCTAGCCTACTGGGCTCTCGGTACATCACCCACTATCTCCAGTTAGCCTCAGGTGCCCTCTTTTGCTACTTAATTTGGAAGTGGTTCTAGGGTTGCCAGGTGTCCTGCATTGACCTGAACAGTCTGGTATTTTTGCCTCCTGTGTGGTAAAACAAAAAATAAAACAAAAAACAGAAAATACCAGACATCTAAAATGTCCGGTATTTTCTGACTTTTTTTCTCCTGCCAGGAGGCGAAAATACCAGACACCTGGCAACCCTACCACACTCAGCAACCAGGCTCAGCCCCAGCCCCCAGACTCATCCCATGGGCTCTCTCTTCCCTCCCTCCCCCACTTACCTGATCCCACCGGGAAGCTGTCTTCTGGCACAGAGGAAGAAAACAAGATGGCCACCAGCAAAAAAAGCCCCAAAGGCCTTAAAGGGGCCATGCTGGTTTTTTTGTATTTTTGTTGCTTAATAACTGTTGGGGCCTTTTTTTTTCCCTCAACAATTTTCCCCCCCTTTTTTTTCGCAACAGTGTTTTTTGAGGGATTATGGGGGGGGTCGGTATCTTTGGTTAAACCATCTGGCAACACTAAGTGGTTCTTGCTTATTGCTTTTAAATGTCAGAGCTGCTTTTTCTTGGAAGCTGTTAAGTTTCCTTACTCCAGTCAGGAGATATCCATTGCTTCCAAGCCTGCCAGCCCCTATATCTTACTTCTAAGTTAGTTGTAAGTTGATCTGTGTTCATTAAAGGATTGAATCAGTGTTTTTAGAAAGAAGTGGGCATTAAACACTTGCCCGGAGCCCTGGGTAGCAGGTCTGGTTACAGCTAGGGGACCACAGGCATAGAGTTCATTAGAAGCAGTTGTAACAAGCACTTTGCACATCTCATTAAAAGTGCTCCTTGTGCCTAAACTTGCAACACAACATTCCAACCAACTGCTGCCCTACTTGAGCGTTTTGCAATCATTCACAACTCCCCTAGAGGGGGTCACAAGCGCCTCCAACTCTTGGGTTAAATATTCAAGAATTTCAGCAGCAGCCACTGAGACGGGGTGACCCCAGGGACTGTGGTGCAAAGTGTGGTAAGGAAAATGCACTTCCTCGGGAAACCGTGCATCGCGGTGCTTAATGCATGGCCCAGGCATCACCCTTTCACTGTTTCAGCCACCACTGAGGGAGCACATGCTACCTCCAATGAAACCTGCCTGTGAGCTCAGACTCTCTCTTTCCCAGAGGCAGTCAGAAGTTGAGATGATGACCAGTTACCCCAGAGTGTTCTTCTCCAACCACACAATCCTCTCAGAAAGCATTGACAAATGCAGAGGTGCCATTCAAATGCCAACCCGCCAGGATCCGGCAATCTGTCTACGTATGTATTTACACAGCCCTCTTTGCATCCTAGCTCTGCTTACAACAGCAGCTATTGCTGCACTGCAGGGAGGGCAAAGGGGACGTGTTTTAACAGCATCCCCAATATAGGGATAGAGGGGATAGAAATGAGCAGCATTAGAAGGGGCCTGACTTGATGGGGGAATTTTCAGTCCTCCGGCACCTAAATTACCACCCTGTGTCAGTGTTCACAAGGAAATTCCTTGCCAGGTGTTTGTGACCTGCATGCCCACTCAGATCATGTCCTCTGGAAGTTTCCCTGAGGGGCTCAAATCTTTTCAGGAAGCCTTTGCCCACTTAGGACTTTCCACCAAACTCATGGTAAGTTTGTGGTTTCTTGGCATTCCAAATGCAAATCCAGGTGACACTTTGCCCCTTGATCCCCAATGCAGAGATTAGCCACCCCTTGTGAACAGAAATGAAGCTCCTGGGAAGCAACGTCTGTAGGCAACCAGCTGAACATCTGTAGGCAACAAGAGCCCAAGGCTCAGGCTCAGTCATTCATACTGATTGGCCTTCACAATTCCAGTGGCATTTTTTCTGAGTTACATTAAAATAAAAAACAAATCATCCAATCCCACACTTTGTCCCTAATGGGCAACCATAGAGCTCAGTGCCAAACTGAGGCCTAGGAGAATAGTTGAAGTGCTATATATTAGGTCCCATATCTCTGGTACCCTTTAAAAGACACTAACAAGTACATTGTATTATGGCCAAAATCTAGCCCTTTCTTCATGGCCAGGGAGGGCTTTTGGCAACAGGACAGGTGTGGTTCTAGTACATAAGATAAGGCCACCTGGGACATAAGGATCTAGTACATAAGGTGGGGGGGCCACCTGGGACATTAGGATCAGGTCCTTTAAGGGCTGAGCTTCCAAGGCTGAGAGTCTGTGAGGGGTGCTGTGAAGCTGCTTAGCTAGCTGGATCAGGACACCTAATAAAGCAGTGTTCTTCTAAGTGCAAGAAGCACAAAGTGATCACTGAACACTACTAGGGGTGTTAAAATGAGGTTAATTTACTAATCAAGTAGTCGTCAGAATTTTTATTGACAACTCAATTAATTGATAGGTAGCCCAGCTGAGTTCCAGCTCATGCCAGATCCGGGACCACACCCCACTGCAGCTCTGCAATTTAAAAGGCAGTAGGAGCGGGGCAGCCCCAGTTGAGGCCCCATGTGGACAGAGGCTGCTGCCGCAAAGCAGCCCCTGCTTCACCCCCCACCCCATGCTGTTGCCTCTGATAGAGCTGGTGCTGGGGGAAACCAGCTTTTAAGTCAGCTCCCACCACCACTAGCTCCTGCTTCCCCCCCACTCACTGCCTCTGATACAGAGGCAGCAGGGTGGGAGGAATGTGAGTAGTCAACTCGACTAACAGATAAGCCTAGGCTTATTGGGTCATCAGCTAGTCAACTACTCCCTTACATCCCTAAATACTACAATACTCAGCTGAACCAACACCCTCCAACTCTAACTTCCACAACTTTTAATACCCCCCTAGGGACAATTACACTGGCATAACTCACCTGAGTAAAGTGCTCTCTGCCCCCCACCCAAATCTCTTAACTCTGCCTAGGGGTGTGGAGAATGAGTAGCCAAGAGCTAGCTATGGTAGCTTCTCTTTAGCAAGGGATTCCTCTTCAATCTACCAGCACTCCTAGGTATCTTCGAGACACCACTGACTTCCTGAGGAAACTACAGTGCATCGGTGCACTTCCTGAAAACATCATCCTGGCCACCATGGATGTAGAAGCTCTCTACAACAATATTCCCCATGAGGATGGACTACAAGCTGACTGGAACAGTGTCCCCAAAATTCTACTAGGATTCCCACACCTGGTGGCTGAGCTTTGTGACTTTGTCCTCACCCACAACCATTTCATATTTGAGGACAATTTATACTTTCAAGTCAGTGGCACTGCTATGGGTACCTGCATGGCTCTGCAGTACACCAATGTTTCTTATGGCTAACCTAGAACAAGGCTTCCTCAACTTTCATCCGCTGGCACTCTTCCTCTACTTGTGCTACCTGGAGGACATCCTCATCATATGGACCCACAGGAAGGAGGCCCTTGAAAAATTCCACTAGGATTTCAACAATTTCCACCCCACTATCAGCCTCAGCCTGGACCAGTCCAAACATGACATCCACTTCCTGGACACTACAGTATAAATAAATAATGCTCACATAAACACAACCCTATACCAAAAGCCTACTGACCACGGCACTAACCTACCTGCCTCCAGCTTCTATTCAGGGTAGGGTTGCCAGGTGTCCGGTATTGACATTTTCTGATATTTTCGCCTCCTGACTGATTTAAAAAAAAATCAGAAAATACCGGAAATGTCCGGTATTTTCTGATTTTTTTTTCCCTGCCAGGAGGCAAAAATACCAGACACCTGGCAACCCTATGACACACTCAGCAACCGGGCCCAGCCCCACCCCCGGACTCTCCTCCCCCCCGCTCACCTGGTTCCGCAGGGAAGCTGTCTGCTGGCACGGAGGAAGAAAACAAGATGGCCACCGGCAAAAAAAGCCCCAAAGGCCTTAAAGGGGCCATGCTGGGTTTTTTTGTATTTTTGGTTTGGTTTTTTTTGCTTAATAACTGTCGGGGTCCTTTTTTTCCCCCCTCCAACAGCTTTGATCTCCCCCTTTTTTTTCCTCAGTTTTTTTTGGGGGGGAGCGCATTTGGTATTTTTGGTTAAACCATCTGGCAGCCCTAATTCAGGGCATATCATACAATCCATTGTCTACAGCCAAACCCTAAGATACAACTGTATCTGCTCCAGTCCCTCAGACACACACCTACAAGATCTTTATCAGACATTCTTAAAACTACAATACACACCTGGGGAAAGGAAGAAACAGACTGACAGAGCCAGATGAGTATACAGAAGTCACTTACTACAGGGCAGGCCCAACAAGGAAAACAATAGAACACCACTGGCCATTACCTACAACCCCCCAGCTAAAACCTCTCTACCACATCATCAATAATCTACAAGCTGTCCTGGAAAACAATCCCTCACTCTCACAGACCTTGGGAGATAGGCCAGTCCTTTCCTAAAGACAGCCCCCCAACCTGAAGTAAATGCTCACCAGCAGCCACCCACCACAGAAACACTAAACCAGGAACCAATCCCTGCAACAAACCCTGTTGCCAATTCTGTCCACATAACTAGTCGAGCAACACCATCATAGGACCTAACCACATAAGCCATATCATCAGGGGCTCATCCACCCACATATCTACTAACATGATATATCCCATCATGTGCCAGCAATGCCCTTCTGCCATGTATATTGGCCAAACTGGACAGCCTTTGTGTCAAAGGATAAATGGACAGAAATCAAACACCAAACAAGGTAACATAGAAAAGCCAGAAGGAGAACACTTTAACCTCCCTGGACACTTAGTAATAGGTTTATACATAGCCATCCATCTACAAAAAAACCTTCAGAACCAGACTACAAAGAGAAACAGCAGAGCTGCAATTCATTTGCAAATTTAACATGATCAAATTAGGACTGAATAAGGATTTAGAATGGTTCTCTCCATCAGTGGCAGGTGAAGGCCCAGTGCAGAAGGCAGCCAAAGTCCTGCCCTTTCCACCCAAAGCCAAGCTCTGTCCAACTCCAGTTGAGAGTCAGGAAGCCACACAGCATGGCCCCAGCCCCCCCAGTGTAGGCAATTTTTTTAAGTCAATGCCTTTCCCTGCCTACGTTTCCTTCTGCCCAGGAGGAAACCAGGCTGTCAACTCCCCACAATGCCCCTATTAGGTCAAGGAAATTGCTCCTGATAAGGCAGTGGTCACCAACCAGTAGATCAGGATCTACTGGTAGATCTTTGAGCCTCTGACAGGTGATCCTGACTGGTTTGGCGAGGAAGCTATTAAGTGCTGGCTCTTCAGATGCCCCTGCACCCTCTGTCATGCTGCTCCTGCCCTCTGCCTTGAAGCTGCCCCGCTGGGAGCCTCCTGCTTGCTGCGCAGGGTGTGGGAGGGAGAAGAAGGGGGCACTGATGTCAGGGTGCCTTTCTTCCCTCCACTTCTGTACTCCATCTCCACATAGAGAGAAGGGGATGAAAGGAGCTTGGCAATGCAAATCTCTGTCACTCTCACACGCTGTGTGTGTCTCTGTCACTCTCAAAAACTCACACTGTCTTTCACTCGCATCTCCTGACCCAGCACATATGCAGGAGGTTGTTGTTACTACTTTTACAGCTTGCAAAGTGTGTTAGTTTTTGGGTTTTGACTGGTCTGTGCATTTCATAACTTTCATTTCGCTCTCATGCTTTAATTTAATTCTATGAGTAGTGAGTTCTAAAATGCCCAACCTGTTGCAGCTGGATTAATGATCTCTGTGGTAATTGCTGCTCCTGGAAGTGGCTGACATGTCCCTGCAGCCCCTGACAAAGGCAGAGCAGGGGTCTCCACATGCTGTCCTTGCCTGCAGACACCGCTCCTACAGCTCCCATTTATCAATAACAGGGAACCTTGACCAGTAGAAGCTGTGGGCTCAGTGCCTGTAGATGAGGGGCAGCACATGGTACCATGGAGCCATTGGTGTACATGCCAGATGATTTTAGGAATGGTGCAAGGCCAGAGCAGGAGTAAGCCTGCTTAAACCCCACTGCTCCACCTCTCGGAAACTGTCTCAGTTAAATGGTGCCAAACCAGAGCCTGCTTCCTGAACTCCTGTCCCAGCCCTGAATCTCCTCCTGCACCAGATGTGAATCCCCCTCCATCCAAACTCCTTCCCAGAGTTTGCACCATGAAACCCCTCCTGGACCCCAATCCCACACCCTGGGCTAAGCCTGGAGCCCCTCCCACACTCCAAAGTCCTTGGCCAAAGACCAGAGCCTGCACCCCAACCCCCTACCCCAGCCTGGTGAAAGCCAATGAGGTTCGGGGAGGAAGGGGGATGAAGTGAGCAGGGTGAGGCCTCCGAGAAGAGGTGGAGCAGGTGCAAGAGGGGGAAGTGGGGCAAGGGTATTTGGGTTTGAGGTTGATCTTACATTGTATTTAAATTGAAAAAGTGATCTTGCGGTTAAAAAGGTTGGAGACCACTGTGACAAGGACACACACCAACCCAAGAAGAGTAAATATGCACCACCACAGTCATTTGTGCAGTGACTAGAATTCCACTTAGGTTTGTAGTATAGACATATCCCAGAACAAGAGAGTAGTAGACATACTCCATTTAACAGACAACATGCCTCTTCTAACACAGACTATGTGCCTGGATGAACAGTTTCAGCTTCCAAAGAAAAACCATTAAAAGCTTTCAAGTTACTTGTTCAGTTGCAGAAACTGAATGTGCAAGCTAATATAATGAGTTATTTACAAGTCTGCAAAGGGAATTAGGTATCTGTTATATAACCCCATTTCTTCCCTTTGAAACAATCGAAACATTTCATATGCACTTAGCAAGACATCATCCAAAAAAAAAAACAGTTATGCAAAATGGAAAGTATGGATTTTAAATCCAGAAAGGAATTCTCTTTGCTTCTGTGCGGTGACATCAACTAGAACAATGTTCATTCTTTTTTTCTTTATTTCAGGGATTCATGTTGGGACTTCGGATGTGAAGGTTTTATCTGATTACAGCCCTGCACGAGATCAGTAGACTGTAAAGGTGTCTTCCACACAGCTCTGCCAATGCACCTGACTCATGACTGGCCCTAGCCACTGCTGTTCCAGTCGAGTGCGTCTCTTGAGCATGCTGAACATGCTGAGCTGTGCCCAATTTCTGCTGATTGGAACAAATTCATTTTCAAGTGGCTCTGAGTCAGGATGTGAATTCAAGGGTGAAATCTTGGCCCCGTTGAAGTAAATGGCCAAAAAAAAAAAAAACCCTCCCAAAGACATCAACAGGACCTGCATTTCATCCCATGTCTCCCGAAAGGAAAATATAGTTACTCTGGGCATCTAACTAAACTTTGTGTGAGAGAGCTGTAAAAATCCTGCCTTTCCCCGCCAAGAAGATTTTTAGCATTCGCTGCTAAAGACAAGTCACCTGCTCTGCTCTCAAACACACAACCCCGAAGCTCAAATCTTAAACTGGAAACAGCTTGTACAGAATAATCCAAATATTTCACTGGAGAAGCTCCTTCAGTCACAGAAACAAAGGTTGCCAGTTTACAACCACATGTCCTACCCTTGCAAAATGCCATCGTTGACGACATTGCTCATAAGAGGGAATGAATGATAACAAACCGTGACCCAAACCTGTATTTAAACCATGCAATACTCACAGGGCATACTGTGGCTCAGATGAAACTTTACTGAGAATCTAACTACAGTTCTGACATCACCTTGGCAATTTTTGGCTTCCCCAAGAAAACTGTTCTTAGGTATAGAGCTTGGGGTTGCCTTATCATGGGATTTCCTTACAGTTCGGGAGGCAGTGGTCCTAATAGCTAGAACCCTGTGCTGGAACTCAGGAACTCTGGGTTTATCATAGGGATATTAAAATACATTTATTAAGGTAAACATGTACACATTTGCATGTGGGGAGATGGCTCCCTTGAGCCGTCTGCCTCCTCCACCCCTCATGCTGCCGCCTCTGTATCAGAGGCAGCAGCATTGGTGAGGGAGCCAGTGCTTACAGGGAGCCAGCTTAAAACCATCCCCTCACCTTGCACTGTTCTCTGATACAGAGGCAGCAGCATGGGGGTGGGGGGAGAGCCTCTTCATGTATCTGTGAAGGCTAACCAATGAGCCTAGGTTCATTGGTTAACCATTTACACATGGACACTTTTACATCCCTAGTTCATAGGGGCCTATTTGGGCATGTCACTGCATCTCTCTGTGCCTCAGACTCCCTTTGAGATCTACTGATGAAAAGACAAGGGCATCATACAATCCACTGTCTATAGCCAAGCCCTAAGAGACAACCACATTTGCTTCCACCCCTCAGACAGAGACAAACACCTACTCTACAAGAGTTTTATCAAGCATTCTTAAAACTACAATGCCTACCTGAGGAAATGAAGAAACAGACTGACAGAGACAGACAGGTACCCAGAAGTCACCTACTATAGCACAGGCCCAACAATGAAAATGATAGAACACCACTGGCCATCATCTACAGCCCCCAGCTAACCCCTCTCTACCATATCATCAGTAGTCTACAATCTATCCTGGAAAAATATTCCTCAAGTTCACAGGCCTTGGAAGGCAGGTCAGTCCTCACTTAGAGTTAGCCCCCCAACCTGAAGCAAATACTCACCAGCAATTGCACACCACA